CCCTTGAAAAATATTCTTTAATAAATCCACGCCTCAGTTGGCCCTTGAAAAATATTCTTAATAAATCCAAATCCACGCCTCAGTTGGCCCTTGAAAAATATTCTTTAATAAATCCACGCCTCAGTTGGCCCTTGAAAAATATTCTTTAATAAATCCACGCCTCAGTTGGCCCTTGAAAAATATTCTTTAATAAATCCACGCCTCAGTTGGCCCTTGAAAAATATTCTTTAATAAATCCACGCCTCAGTTGGCCCTTGAAAAATATTCTTTAATAAATCCACGCCTCAGTTGGCCCTTGAAAAATATTCTTTAATAAATCCACGCCTCAGTTGGCCCTTGAAAAATATTCTTTAATAAATCCACGCCTCAGTTGGCCCTTGAAAAATATTCTTTAATAAATCCACGCCTCAGTTGGCCCTTGAAAAATATTCTTTAATAAATCCACGCCTCAGTTGGCCCTTGAAAAATATTCTTTAATAAATCCACGCCTCAGTTGGCCCTTGAAAAATATTCTTTAATAAATCCACGCCTCAGTTGGCCCTTGAAAAATATTCTTTAATAAATCCACGCCTCAGTTGGCCCTTGAAAAATATTCTTTAATAAATCCACGCCTCAGTTGGCCCTTGAAAAATATTCTTTAATAAATCCACGCCTCAGTTGGCCCTTGAAAAATATTCTTTAATAAATCCACGCCTCAGTTGGCCCTTGAAAAATATTCTTTAATAAATCCACGCCTCAGTTGGCCCTTGAAAAATATTCTTTAATAAATCCACGCCTCAGTTGGCCCTTGAAAAATATTCTTTAATAAATCCACGCCTCAGTTGGCCCTTGAAAAATATTCTTTAATAAATCCACGCCTCAGTTGGCCCTTGAAAAATATTCTTTAAATCCACGCCCATTGCAATGTTACCAATAAAAAGACAAAATTAATTGCCTTGTCTTTCCATAGATGGACTATAAATATTAGAAGAGTGCAAAACTTCTAGCTAAACTCTTCAATATATTTTTCCTCCACTAACAGCCACTTCATGAGAATAACAACTACTATGACAAGTCCCGCAATTTTTCCTGTTTTCATTTTGTTCTACATTTTTGTTATTATTTTTGGCTATAACAAAATTTCAAAAGCCCCCAGAAAAAATTATGACAAGGACCAAGGACCATAATTTTATTAGTTGTCTTCAGATTATGAATGCTAACTAACGACAACTAAAGATGAGAACAACACCAACAACTGCAGGTTTAGTGTCACTAAAATACATTTCAAGACAAAGTCCAACGAAAGAAAAAAAAACAACAGCATCAAATTCTCAAGTGGTTTGACTAACAAACTTTCCCACTACGCTGGCCGGCTGGCTTAACTGTAACTAAGGAATTTTACATTGCAGCTTGGTTAGTTGTTGAGGAATTTTGGTGGCTTGACAAATTCGGCGGATAGTCATTAAAATTTTTGGGCTTTTTTTCGTTTTTGTAAAAACTTTAGAAATTCTCATAGTTGGGTGGATGGCTGGATGGATTGTCATTGTGTCATTTTCCCTTCGAAAGCATTGTCGTTGCATTTGTTCGCTTTTCCCTGTCTTCCTACAATTGATGTAGACAATGAATGACAGTTTTTGGGTAGGGTTAGTGGTTATGACTTTTTTATTTGCAAAAAAGCAAACATTTTTTAATTTTATTACGAGTCAAACCATGGGTAATTGAACACTCATTTTAATTAAGTGCGTGCAACAAGCAAGTGCAACAAGCAAAAATATGCACGAGAATTTGTAAGTGTTTAAAATACAAATTCAAATACAGTAGAGTCGATATCTTGAGATTTGCACTCAAAATTGTGTAGGGACATTCATTAATTAGTGTAGATTCGAATTATATCACAACAATTTTTGACCCCTAGAATGGGGTGGGGGTCCCATAAGCATTGTTAGAATCATTTTCTCAAAATCTATCATTAGAGTAGACGTGGTTGAGAGTGACAATTATTTCCCGATTAATTGTAGTATTAATCCAGTATTAATCTAGCTCCTCTGTAAAATTTAATTAACTGTAAGGACAATAAAATAAATTGGCATTGTTTTAAAAGCAAGCGCTTACCTTAAAAGTTTCCTGATAGTCAAGAAAGACATCAAACCAAAAAACTAGTTTGTCAAGAACAGCTGTTCTCATTTCCGTTTCCTTCCATTATATGACAAATACAATTTTTTTTTCCTTTCGGGCTCCTCCTGTTAACTACACTTAGTAATTGTGACATTCTCCATTGTCGTAAAGATGATGATGGTATGGTTGGGGTTGGGGCTGATGATGACGATGGCATATTGAATATTGCTACTTTGTGTTTGTGTATGTGTGCTTTTTTTTATTCGCCTTTTATGTCAGGCATCAACAGGAAATGGATATTGAAATCTTTCATTATTAATATGCTTAAAATATTTAACATGTTACACACAATTCAGTTTTCTTGTTTTATTTTTTTTTTCGTTCACTATTCTCTTCATGGCCCTTTTGCCATTGTTGTTGTAATCTATTATTTAAGAAGTGTCATTAGCTATTATTTGAAGTGCTGTTCATGCTGTGTTTGAGGAGTAGTTGTAAGACAAATATTTAATATTTCACTTAATGGGTGTGAATGTATATTATGTTAATTTATCTTAGATCTGAATGTTTGTGTCTGAAATAATTACAACAAATAATAATTAGTAATATATGTTATTCACATGAAGGAATTTTAATAGAATACTTACATGTGTATTCAAGAACTTCTATAAAGAATTGTGACCTTGGATTGGGTGAGAAGAACATTTCCACAGATTACAACTGTAGATGCCTGGAAAAATAGAGAAATAAAAAATTGAAACACCAGTTAGACCTAAATATTGGAATTGTCTGACCCAAATAGTCACGGTTAGGGTAACAAAAAAGATATCAGAGATAATTGAATCACAATCTGAACCTAGTTCTGTCAACACAAACAAGCTTTAAGTGTGGATTTTTTAAGAAATGTTTTTCTACAACGAACATAGCTTTAGCTTGGATTTTTTGAGATTTGTTTTCAACCATGAACCTAGAATTAAGCTTGGATTTTTTTAAAGAATATTTTCAACCACGAACTAAATTAAAATGTGTATTTTTCAAAGAATTTTTAATCCACAAACATAGCTTAAAGCGTGGATTTTTATAGAATATTTTAACATAACGTAAAGCGTGAATGTTTTAAAGAATATTTTTCAACCACGAACATAGCTTTAAGAGTGGATTTTTTAAAGAATATTTTTCTAACCAAGAACATAGTCTAAAGGGGGTTTTCAGCCACAAACGTAGCTTCTGTTGTGATTAGAAGGTGCCACTTGAGAACTTTTTTATATGTTTTAGAAATCATATATAGCTGTGGCTTGTGTAGAAATCTGTGGGTATAAGAAAAATGACAGTGAGATTTTTTGTTGTCGTAATAATTTGTATTGCTTAGAACTGAGAACTTTTTTATATGTTTTAGAAATCACATATAGCTGTGGCTTGTGTGAAATCTGTGGGTATCAGAAAAATAACAGTGAGATATTTTTTTGTAGTAATAATTTGTATTGCTTACCATGACCAGCCTACCTAGGATCATCAAAAAATCTAACGAGTAAAAATGTTGTTGTAGGTTCGGCCGTGTCGAATTTATTATACCCTTCACCATGAAGTCGGTATTTGAAATATCTGAAAACAAAGAATTGGGTTTCGAATGATGTGTTTAAAGTTTCCTGAAAATCGGTTCAGATTTAGATATAGCTCCCATATATATTTTCGTTCGATTTAAAGTAACTGGTCTACCAAAGTCCATAAATATCTTTCGAATTACACGAAATTTTGCATAGTGTACTCGGTACCTTTATTTATATGGCGGGCTGTGACAAGTGCATTTTTAAAATTGATATTTTAGTCTAAAATCAATCAAAATATATGGGCACGGGTCAGTACCCTACCCTAACTTACCCAAAAAGGTACGTATGTTTTCTATCTAACATAAACTGGTCAAACCCCTTCAACTAGTTGGCAGATTCCAGTGGAAAAAATCGTTGTATAAGTCTAGAATGATGTGTGTTAAGTTTCGTGAAAATCGGCTTAGATTTAGATATAGCTCCCATATATATTTTCGTTCGATTTAAGGTAACGGGTCTACCAAAGTCCATAAATATCTTTCGATTTACACGAAATTTTGCATAGTGTACTCGGTACCATTATTTATATGGCGGGCTGAGACAAGTGCATTTTTAAAATTGATATTTTAGTCTAAAATCAATCAAAATATATGGGCACGGGTCTGTACCCTACCCTAACTTACCCAAAAAGGTACGTATGTTTTCTATCTCACATAAACTGGTCAAACCCCTTCAACTAGTTGGCTGGTTCCAGTGGTAACTTATTCATAAATTATGTTTATCAAAAATCGTTGTATAAGCCACTGTTGCCGCTTCGATGCAAATTCGTCTAAGAACACGAAATTCAGCTAAGAACACCAGCGCGTAGTTCTCAACATTGAGCCAACGAAATTGAATTTATAGTTTATTTTTAATCTACATATCTGTAGAAAAAAATATATCGTACTTTACAAATCTTACTTACCTACGACGACAAAAATGTTAACCTCAATTTTATTCGTCTCAATATTTTGCACTTAATTATACACAGAATAATAACAAATTACATTAACTACCATCACGTTACTATATATTAATCCGAAATATTACACAATATATATTTATTACACGTTATTTTCCCAACAATTTAAAAACATAAAACTAATTAGATTTTTATTTTCCTTTAACAGTCAACAGACGCCATCGCACTCTACACTCACTGTAAAATGATAACATAATCATTCACAATAGAACGACAAACATATGTTTTCAAGCAAGTTGACTCTCTCTCTCGTTCACCGCATGTAGCTGTCAAAATTGAAGAGTATTGTGTGTTTTTACGTAAATTTCGGCATATTCATTTGGATTTTTATTTAATCGAAGAAAAGTTATAACAAAATCCTAAGAAAAATGAATCAAGCCGAAGTTACAAAGTTAATGTCACAGCTGCGTTTTGCTGTGCGGCCCAATAAGCGTAATTTAAAAAATCCCGATGGCCCGGAGGGTCGTTTGATGAAGTTGAGGAAAACCGTCACCGCTTTGGTAAAACATGAACGTATTGAATTATTCTATCAAAGGGCTGATGAAGCCAGAGGCTATGCTGAATTGGTAAGTAACGAAATATATTATATCAATCCAACATTATTTCTTATTTGTCGTTTCAGCTCATTTCCGATGCCATACGTCACGGTGACCGCCATAAGGCCACAATGGAATTGGCCGATTTCTGGTTGTTGGAAAAACAATTGGTCCACAAGCTGTTCAAAGTATTGGTGCCTCGCTTCGAGAATAGTAATGTTTCATTTACCCGAATGTACAAAGCACCTCGAGATTATCCCGGCATCTATTATGACAAAGCTGTCCTCGAGTTGAGAGGTAATCCCTATCCATCGCTGTTGCCGGACTTTTCTCAAAATCGCAATTACATACACAACATTCTGCTGGATGAAGCACGTAAAGATTATCGACGTGAAAAGTTGGCTGAAATGGCAAATAAATTGGCAGCGGAGCCAACAGAAGCGCCAAAAGTTGAAGCCCAAAAGTGATTAGTCAATAATCGTAATCTTTTTATTAAACATTTGAAATGTTGTTCCCCTTAGTTGCTTTGTTTTATATGTAAGATGAGGATGCGTTTATTATTTAAATATAAAAAGAAATAATCAAATACATATGTTAAGTGATATTGTTGAAAAGGTGTATGTAAATTAATTAGCTTTAAAAAAGATTTTAAATTAGGAATATAAATGGATTTTAATAGTACAAGATTCCAGGAAATTATTACGACAATACTTCCTGAACAATGCAATACTACCAAAAAGATAATGCGGCAACACTTCCAGGACTACGAGACGTTTCTGAACTATCTTTTATAGGTCGTAATAACTAGACGCTTCGTCTGGTCGTTGATGATCAGTTTGTCACTTTTAACGCAACTCATCTATTTTGTGGTTTCAAAAGTATGAGCCTAGAATAAAAAAAAAAAAAACAAATGATAAGAGCGTTAAGCTGGGCCGAAACTTAAGTTCGGCTCGAAACTTGGCACACGTCTTTCTAGACTCAATTCAGTATCCTATGCCAAATTTCGTGTAAATCGAAAGATATATAGGGACTATTTATCTTAAATCGGATGAAAATATATATGGGAGCTATATCTAATTCTGACCTGATTTTCTCGAAACTTGACACACGTCATTCTCGACTCAATTCAGTACACTATGCAAAATTGCCTGCAGATCGAAATATATATAGGTACTTTGGTGCACCATTTAAATAAAACCGGACCAACCATATACGGGAGGTATAACTAAATCTGAACCGATTTTCCTCAATTTCAATAGGGTTCGTCCTCGGGCCAAATAAGTGACTTAATCTAAATCGGATCATAAATGCGACCTGTACTTTGCTTACAGTTTAACATCTACCGACGGACGGACATGCATAAATCGACTCAGAAAGTGATTCTATGCTTATTCTCAAAAGGAACCTTATGCCTGTTACAAACATATGCACCCTGTACTACACTGTGGTGAAGGGTATAAAAAATGGAGTTATATGGGGACTACCCCTAAAAGAGAGCGAATATAAACCATTTTCGGAAGGAGATTTGTTAAAATATACGACTACAAAATACCAAATTACAGCGAATTCGGTTGAAAACGCGATCAATAACCCCAAAATACCGAAAAAGGGGGGTACCGTTATATGCGGGCTATATTTATAATTTTTGGGGGAACTATATTTATAATTTTTAGTGGGGAGATTTGCAACCCAAATAGAACTCAAGGTACTAAATTACAGTCAATTCGGTCGTAAAAAGACAATCAAAACCACCAAAATATTGAAATTTTGGGAATATCGTTATACCAGAAATGGTGGACCTACTTTTATAATTTTTAGTGGAGAAATTTGATACCCAATAAGAACACAATGTACCAAATTTCAGTGAAATCGGTTGATAAGCGCGCTTAAGAATACTAAAATACCGAAAATTGGGGGTGCACTTATATGGGGTTTACAAGAAAAAATGGGCCTATATTTAAAATTGTTAGTGAAGACATTTGGTACCCAATGTACCAAATTTCAACGAATTCGGTTGAAAATGAACGATCAAGAACCCCAAAATACCGAAATTTGAGGTGTACCCTTAATTCGAACTTAACCTGAGAATTGAGAGAGAAGATTTGACAGTTGTGTTACTGAGTATTTGCAAATTCTTACAAGGAATTTTTTCGTCATTACTCCTCCTCCAACTAATCCACATTCTTTTTGTATAGAAGGTATAGGAAAAATCTTTAAAAAAATCGAGTTCAGTTTCAATAAGTTAAGACTTGATTGGTTATTTGTATACGAAGAATTTCGTCTAATTTGATAAAAACGTGTTTGTTAGGCGAAGACTCAAATCGTCACTTTTGTAAAATTTTATTTTTAAGCCCGTGGGCGTATTATAATTTTTAAATTGTGTTTGCAAGGAAAATTTACTCGGTGATAATTTTCTTGTACCATCAGCTGATATTTAATCAGCTGTTTTGTTATGTTTTGTAAACAAACAATGATTTTTTTGTTTTTTTTTCCAAATCGATTGTTTTGTCCATTTTATTTAGATTTTGTATATTTAAACATTATTTTTTTTTTAATAAAAATGCTGCTTTTTTGTTTGCTCCAAATTGTTCGTTGTTTTAATCACCTGTATCGATAAAATTTTTTACTGAATGTAGTTTGATTACTTTTTGCAATTTTCCTTCTAGAGAATGACAAATTCTTATTTACACTCTTCAAATTCTTACTGAGTAAGTAAACGAACGAACCTAATGTCAAAGTTCAAATTTTATTAATAACATTAATGAATTAAGGTGACATATACGCTGTGGAATTGAATTTGAGATCGAGTGTATTTAGAAGTCTAAAAGTGGTCTTATAGCGAACTTTTAGGGACCAAGCAAATTTGTTCGATATAGACGAAGTTCGTTATAGACAAGGTAGGCTTAGCTGGAAAAATATACTTATTTACATTAAAAGTTAAATATATAATGTGGGAGCAAAAAAATTAAAATTTATAATGAAGATTACAAGCTATAGCGTAAAAAATATTGAGGATGCTAAGTATTAAACGAATAAAAAACTTAAATTAATGTATTTAGATCAATATTTTTATCGCGTTTAAATTGTATATAAGCAACATATGCTTCATATCGCATCTTGTATACTCTTCTTTGATGCCATCACATCAGCTGTTATTCATTCACAATAACGAGCAATTTAGTACAAACATTTTTACCGCAAACACAACAGAAACGAATTTTACTTCGTCTTGATAATTTGGATTTTGTTTCATTTATTTTCTGTTAAAAATAAGTAAAAAAGCCTGAATTTCATACAATAAATGCCCATTGGCTATAATGGAACAGCAGGAACCCCCAAGTGATGCGGAAAGTGTACTCGATGAGAATGTATTTTATTTCGAAAGTGACCATCTGGCACTGCGCGGAAATCGTGACTATACCAACATGCTGAGGACAATAGCTATTTTGGAAGCACAACGGGTACGAGTACACCAGCAACTGGAAGAATTGGCATTGGCCAAGAAACGTTATATGGATGATCCCGAATTATTTCTCAAGAAGATACAAAATGGTGAACCCATAGTGGCGGCGGAACATCTGACAATAGCCACGGTATTAAATTCCATTTATTCACACTTTCGATTAATTAATAAAATTGATATTGATTTCATTTGCAGTTACCCGAAATTGGAAAATACGAGGATATGCCACCCAACGATGTAAAGATAAAAGAAGAACCCAACACAAGTTCCAGTGATACCATAAAATCGGAATTTCCCATTGTACGTGGCCGGGTTATGGATGAAACAAAACCGGAAACCTATAATCAACTATGGACAGTGGAAGAACAAAAACGTTTAGAAGAATTACTCATTGAATATCCCGAAGAGCGGGTGGAAATGCATCGTTTTACAAAAATTGCCAAAGCCTTGGGAAATCGAACGCCACAACAAGTCTCAAGTAGAGTACAGAAATATTTTCAAAAATTACACAGTGCTGGTATGCCCATACCCGGTAGAATTCCCAAAAATCGTCGTGTCGGCCAATCTAAATCTAAACACTATTATCGGCCATCGACATTTTTTCCATCACACAATGTTCCCGTGCACATGTCTGAAGATGATTTTTTGTTTAGTGATTTAAATTCACCCTCCACCAGTGTCACTTCACAAGAACGTAATACACATTTAGATTCCACCGAGACGTCACATGAAGTAAAGAAAGAACCATTAACACCCGAGATGAGACAACAAATGGTTAGCATGTTGGAAACAATAAAACAGGAAAAACTTTCTACAACCGAGGGATATAGTCCGGATCCGTTGTCGGCAAAATGTGAAACGTGTGAAACAGCTGCAGTGGCACGGTCCGGTTGGCGTTGCAACACCTGCTATTGTCCCTTGAATTTGTGTAACGATTGTCTTATACATCAACTTGTCGAACATCAATTTGAACATTATTCCCATGATGTGGTGGCCGAGACAAAAGTATGATTAAGTTTATTATTTTTTTGTAGTTGTTATTCTTCCTTTTTTAGACATAGTTTTTTTAATTTTTTTTGATAGAAAATAAGAAAAACTAATCAAGATACTGAAGTAATTGAATACCTCATCAATTGAAATACAAGCAAGACTCAAGACTATAAAAGACTTTCAATATAAGCAAGTTTCAAGAATCTGATGTAAGAAATACCTCAAGAATCTAAATTAAGTATTCAAAAATTGACGGTGTAAAGCAAAATTTGTCAAGATTTCCAATTTATTAATGGATCAAGTCAAGGTGGAAAAAGGTGCCAAGAATATGAACAGGTATGCAATTTTTAATTAATATTTAAATATCTATATCGTTAGCGTTTTCCGATGATGGTATACACAAATTATTCTTCAATTTATTCCCAAACTACATCTGTTTGTATGCAATTAAAAACTGTTTGATAGGCCTTTTAATCTAGAGACTCACTTTTGTTCCTCTGGACCTCTTTCTCTAGGTCGTCAAGATTCTTCTCGAAATGCGTGGGCAGTGGATTTGGTGGAAATTCCACAACATCTAATGTAAAACAGATCGGCCTATCTTTATGTAGGTTATCAACTTATAGTTAAGGTCATCGATTGTTGGTCCAGACACCATTATCGAACAGCCCTCCTCGAATATAATCACATCAAAAATTTATATTTTTAATATGAAAATCTTAAACCTTATTTCAATTATCCAAGATGTAGAAAATTATCCATAAAACATCTGAAAGAATGTAAAGATGATCTTGTCATGTTAGGATGTTAGGCACAATTGTTCTGACATTGTCTTGTCGAATGAGGCAATCAAACAAATGCAATCTAGATAATCTTCTATTGCCTACTATCTACTTGTCTGTCATCAGTCTATCGGTTTTCCGATTGAAAATCGTAGTTTTCATTTTTTTACAAAATAGCTACAAGTATTAATTTATTTTATTTATTACTATTTTTTATTTTGTAAAAAGCTTTTACAAATTCAATGAAATTTTTGAAATTATATTTATCTTAAATGTATTGAAGTCTTTTTTTAGATTAGTCAACACGCTTCCAATTGTCGTTTACGAAATTTATCCTTACGATCTAAAACTTTTGAATATCGATATAATTTTGAACTTTTCAGTCGCTTTGGATTGGTGGTTAGTGGTAATTGATTTTTCGTATTTCTATATGTGTCCATGGTATTCAATTTATTGAGCAATGAAGCGACATGTGAATTCATGGTGTACGCCAGAAGAGCATCCAATAGCCACATACAGGATTTTTCAGCATGTGTTGAATCGATACAATTGGAATCCCCCATAATAGCGATACGACCTTCCTTGGTTTCTTTTCTATTGAGATTTTCATTTATCAAATATAATGCCTGTTTTTTATTCTTAGTTTTGTTTTCGATTTCAATTTGAGCTGCCTTCAAAACATTATTTTCCAGCAGAACTCGTTTATTTAAAATTGAATTGTAATCATGCTGCTGTTCATTATGAGCATTATGATGTGTGTCATTTAAATCATTTTCATCCTCTAGCAACTCTAAGGTCACCACATCTGGTGATATTTTCATGTTGGAGCGTTGATTTTCATGCATTTGAAATAATCCCAATATGGGATAATTCGTGTGTATCTTCTGTTCATGATTATCGGGTTTTTTATTTATCACTTCAGTGCCTTGATCCGTTAGACGGGCTGTTATAATAATGTTATCAGGATTTTGTGGAAATGTATTGAGCGTGGTACCACTGGCATAATACACCTGATGTTCACCTAGCTCATAATAACCCTCTGCAATGGTATCACTTAGCGAAATGCCAAATCCTTCTAAGAGTTCATTTAGTGCTGGCACATTTGCTCCCCCAGTATCTGGCATCCACCATTCTCTGGTATTTTCATCGAAAAATTTCATTTTCCTCATAACTGTGGTATTATACCAATCGGCAAAGACAATCACACCCAGACCATATTCATAGACATCTCTTTGTAATTTCTGAATTTCTTCATCAAAAAATTCCTCTTCTGGATCGACAATTAGTAAAGTACCATAATCCGAGGCATTGAAACATGTAAATGGCATACCCAACACATCTATGTAATAGCCATGATTTCTCAAATGATGATACATATCTCGAAAATTTGTGTGTATATGATCACCACGCCAATCCAACGGATCTGATTTAATTTTCAAATTATCTCTGGGTATATAGCCTGGGGGATATTGTATATTATGATATTGATCCCATAGAATGCGTTTATGCCTGGGTGGTTTGGGTGCAATTTTCACTTTAATTGGAAAATGTATGGTTTCATTGCGACCAGCTGTTGTTATGGTCAGGCTAACTGAACCCTCAGCTTCACCTTCATAGAGACATGCCATATCTTTGACTTTCACTTTAACTGCCATCCAACCAGACCAAGGCCACAGCACTGGAGAATAACTTATTTCAACTTGTAGTATCTCTCCATTTTCCTCTAAATTTGGTTGCCATTTGGGAGCTTCTAAGATTTTCCCTCTTACCGACAAGGCATTCCATATGGTCACATTAATAATTGATGCCATGCCACCACAATGCATTGGCTGTGAGCTGTAAGGCCACATATAGGGATCCGTGTAATCCATATAAGCCGGACTGAGAGTGATTTTGGGTTCATATGCCTTCAACAGGTTCATACTTTTCGAAACATTCAACTTGCCATGACCTTGCTCGAATATGTTATTATGCTTTAATTTTGTGGCTCCCTCAGCCAAGATTTGTTTCACGGAAGCCGGATTGACCAAAGGCAATTTGGATAAATCACCACTTAATATTAATGCCACTGCACCAGCCACAACGGGTGATGCCACTGATGTTCCCGACAGCGATCTACAGCCACCATTTAAATTGCTGCCCTTAACATGGCTGCCATAGGTTACAATATCGGGTTTTACACGTCCATAACCCCGAGGTAATTCCCATGTTGTCATACCTCTCGAACTGAATTTTGCCACCATATCATCTGAATTAATTCCACCAACCCCAATAACATCACTCTGATCACCCGGATTGTTAAGGGTACCATATAGGGGACCATCATTACCAATTGCTGATATCATGATGATTTTATTTGCCGACAGCTCCAAAACTTTGTCGACAAATGGTCGGTCCATAAAGTCCGGTCCACCAATACTTAAATTCAAAACATTTATTTTACGGAACATGGCATAATTGAAGGCATCCAAAAACCAAGAAGTATACGACACTTGTATGTTGGTACACACCCTGAAAATATGCAACTCCACATCGGGAGCAATGCCCAAACACTCTTTGGAGGAGGCAATTACCCCAGCCACAAATGTACCATGACTAACCCCGTCATCTAGAGACTTTTCATTTGTCCAATTTGTTCGCTCCTTGACATTGCGAAAATGCGGATGATGTTTTGGTAGCCCCGTATCGAAAACAGCCACCTTGATTCCCTTACCAGTTATGCCACGGCTCCACAATTCACGTACATTTAATAAATCGGTAATATGACCACCTGGTACGACAGCCAACAAATGGCGTGGCTGATAATCGGTATAATTTCCGTGTGGAATATATTTCAAATCACGCGTAATTAGATTTTGTTGTGTTACACTTTTAATGGCTGGATGTAATTTTAAAATATCTATCACATTTGTTGTAGATGTCTGTATGACCTCAAAATCACTGGGATATAAATCGGACAATGCGGGTCGGGCTACAAAACTCCAATTGACTGATGAATTGTGCCTACCAAATGCTGCATTTATATATTTTTCTCTTGCCGAACGCCAATAGTAATTTTTAAAATGTACCAAATATTCATTGTCCACTTTGGTAAGTTTTACATTGATATCCAGTTGGACATCGTGTGGTATTGCTCTTTTAATCTGGCCTAAGCAGGATGTGGTGGTAAGGAGGAATATTAACAGCAAGAATTTTATTTCCTGGACTATACTAATTGAGTCCATGATGAAAATTAATTTTTTTGTAAATGCCTGCCTGGGTTTAAGATACCATGGTTAGTTCCGAGTAAAAGAAGACCACAAAAATGTAAACAAAGAAATATGTGTTTGTTGGTACGCTAAACAGCTGTTATTCACAATAATACGGTAATAACATTTTATTCACAATAGACGTTTATCGTTGGGGAAAAATAGAAATGTGATAATTTAAAAAAAAAAAAAAAATTGTTTGGAAGATTCTAATTATTTTTTTTAATCCTTTATTATTTTCTTTAATCCTCCTGCGAAAACTAATTCTTAAATCCACCATCAAGCTTAGCACGGTTATGATTCGAACGTAGTAGGTTCCACAGCACCTCAAATGTTGGCAACAAAAAAAACATTAATTATTCATCGCAACCTAAATCTGCTTTGAAATGGACTGCTTCTGAAGAGAAAAATGTCGAAACTTGATAAAATTGAATTTAATTCGCAGATGCTACTTCGTATTAACTGCAACATAAATACAAGTTATCAACATACGATCTTTGTAAAGTCACATGGCCCAATATGTCTGATGACCCGCTAAACCAACGGCGAAACGCATCGCATAATGGTGGTGTATATGCTCTAAATCTCGCTTTCCATTTAATTGCACATTAAGCACTACTTAAAAGAAAAACACTAACTTTTTTGTTTTTCAAAATTATAGTTTTTTCTAAATCTTGATTATTTTAAAACTTTATTTTGAAAAAATAAAAACTTAAATAAACCAAACCAAACATATTTATAAATTGGTAAAACTCGAAAAATGTGTATTATATGTACTTGATCTTAGTGTAGGGGATTTGTTTTGGATGATTGAATACAATTGTAATCTCCTCATCATCGATATTTATATATTCTATAATTATTAAGAAATTATAATTTAATAATTATTTTAAATATGACTATTTATATAATGACCTTTTACAATGTAGCTGCATTTTGTCATGGAATATCAAAATGTCTACGATAATCCGAACTGTTCTAGTAATACCATTATTACTCTACATCCTGATAATTATTGAAGCAAGTACCGAAAATTTCAGAAGAAAAACATGGATTATAGGAAAAAAAATAAATATTTTTTTTTAGAATATCGAATGTGGCAATCTGGAATTCGATGTGAGCAGCATTAGCTGTGTCAAACATATGAAAGAGCCAGCTAGCAGATTTGAATGCGACTATTTGAAGAAAAGCAACAGTAACTATAACGTTAACGTTAAAATGCTGTTGAGTCGTGATTTGGGTAGAAATTTTAGAGGCCACATCGCTGTCGATATAATGCCAAAGAATTCCAGGCAAACTATACACATGATCGATTTGAGATTTAATTGCTGTATTTACTTGGAACAATCACTGGGCAATCAATTGATCAAATCGTTGATCACAGAATTTAAGAGGGCATCGAATCTACCGAAAAAGTGTCCGTTCAAAAAGGTTTGTGCTATATTCGATATTATTTTTTCTTTTCTTTGTTATATTTTTCTCACTAATTATGTTTTCAGGATTTTCTCTATGAGATCAAAAATTTCTCTCTAACTGAAGTATTATTTCCTTCACATTCTCCGTTAGTGAATTTCAGTTTCGCTTTGAGTTTATATGATCGAAACAAATTGTTTGCTTCGTTGCAGGTGTTGGGAAATGTTAAGAAAAACAACATTTTGAAATTATCGTAATCGTAAAAATATGTTACTAAATTTCCAATGACATTCAATAAGATTGGATTTAATATATATGGGAAATTACAAAAATCTTTTAAATTCCTTGAAGCTGAGGTTTGCAAGGTTATAACTCGCGAAATATGAACATATTGCATAAAATTTAAATTCATTTCTATAAAATGAAGTGTTCTTGTCAAAATCCTAAAATATTGGTAATAAATAATAAGTTTGGTGGAAGCTGTGATGGTGGTAATGTAAAAAAATGGGTGAAAATGTGTTGAAGCCAACGAGTTTTTTTGTGTTCGTTCCCGATTTGTGGCTAAACTACACAACGCACGCACATGTGATCAGTGACTAAGTTGCAGAATACCCCATGGACAATATGGTTCTAATGTATGGTTTTTCGATATAATCACTGCATCCACCCAAAATGGATGCTGGCATTTTGAAGCCGTATTTTCGGTGTTTTTTGAATTTTTCTTATAATTAGGATGCGCATCCAGATAATAGAATAAACTAATTATAGGATTGTAGAACTCGTGATTCTGCTTCGTTTAGTGTATATCTCATGAATGTGCACACTGTAGCTTCTTTGCAATTGGGTTCCAAAGACGAAAATTTGGTGCGTAAATTTTTATAAAAAACATATTTTTTGAGTCTAAAATTAAGAAAGTCCTTTCAAATTCCGTGGAACCCCGCGTGATTTTAGTTTTTTTACGTGCCGGATCTAATGAGCCCATCCATGTTCAATTCCGTCCAATAAAACGGCGGATATAGGTACCTTGAATGTGGGAAAAACTGCAAAAACTTATTTTGACAAATTCGCGTAAATAATCGCGGTTTTCTTCGAATTAATTTTACGTGCATTTATGCTTGTATTGTCAAATTCGCGAATCTGTCTTGAAATAGGTCAAAAATACATCGGTACGCGAATAATATGCGTATTTTATCCAAAATTGATTGTGGAGGCACATCCGCGGTTCTTAACCGATCCTTCTAAAATAGGTGTCCTTTTGCGTATTTTCATAGGAGATTACTAAAATCGGATGCGCATAAAAATCGTATGCACGTTGCGTGATATTTAGCCATTTTTAGGGTTTTTGCATAGTAAAGTGCATCGAGTGGCACACTTCGACCGCTAAATTAAACATCGAAAAATTAATAATTATTGAAATACATTGATTCGGTTTATACGAAAATCACATGCGCATCAACTGATTTCAACTAATTCGCGAATTGCAAGCTTTTCAATATTGATAATTTTTATGTATTGTAAGTGCAATATATTTAGCCATTAATGACGTCGAAACTCTTATCAGATGAATCTGCCGATATTTAACAACCATCTAAAAGAATTTGCAGAAGAAAGCGTCGTATATTTTAGAAGATTAAAGCAAAACCGTATCCTCTTAACCATACTAAAAAATCGAAAATTCAAAAAAAAAATTTTGTGTTAATGCAAAAATTAATTTATTTTATTTTCCGATATCTTCATGTTTCTATTTGTTTTTCGCGACTATTAAACCGTATTTCAGTGTGATTTGACTAGTATGCAAAGAAAACAATGGTGTTTAAGCATTTGTAAAGAAATTCGCGAATTACAACGAATATGAATCCATTTAATTTATATTTGAAATACAAGATTTAAAACCGCTATAACTTTTGTGCGCAGCATCCGATTTTGTGAACGCGAACAGATTTCGAATCAGCATATTTTTCTTAACCTATGTACCAAAAATCATGAATGTGCTCGCAAAAAAATTTTTCAAATTTTTTTTAATGGAATTTTAAAAGAATTTTGTAATTTCCCATATATATATATATATATATATATATAAGGACTATTACATGCTTCGACTTTTCAAACAAATTTCCAAATTTTTAATAAATATTTTTTAATATTTTATTACGGTTTTGTTGAGGTCCACGGTTTTCTTATAAACCCACCAAATTCAGGCCGAAGTGATTGGCATATGCCATTTAAGATTTTCAATAGATATACAGGACTATTAGTTAACACAATGTCCGCAAAAAGTCCTACACTTTGTAAATGTACATTGTAGGTATTCAGAAAGTTCTGAACGAATTTTCCAAATTGAAATAATTGTAATTTGGCTTTTCGAGTTCTCAAAGGGCATTTCATCAACAATATTGATTTCCAAATAAAGGTCTCATTCGTTCTTATGGATTTTAGTGTCCTAGCCGCATTTTTCAAACGAAGATCTTGAATAGATCTTGTACAAGTTTGACAAGTAACTAAGGTGCCTGCATTCATGCCCTTCAAATGGAGGACAATCCTAATCCGATACTATGTCACGTCATCTGGGTGTTCTACCAGGTGGTCACACTACGGATTTATTAAATGTGCGTGAATTGTGGAAACGTTGTATAACTGTTAAATGCATCAAAGAAGTGGCTGTCTTCGATACCGGATTACCAAAACATCATACGCATTTTCGCAAAGTAAAGGAGCTAACAAATTGGACAAATGAAAAGTCACTGGATGATGGTGTAAGTCATGATACAATTGTGGCGGGAGTTATTGCCTCATCCAAATAGTGTTTGGTCATTAATCCTGCTGTGGAGTTGCATATTTGCAGGGTGTGTACCAACATACCAGTGTCGTATACTGTTTTTTTGAAGTTTAAAGTTTTTTATGCCTTCAATTATGCCATGTTGCCTAAGATAAATGTTCTGAATGTATGTACTGGTGGTCCGGACTTTATGGATCGACCATTTGTCGACAACGTTGTGGAGCTGTCGGCAAATAAAATCATAATGATATCAGAAATTGGTAATGACGTTCCCCTATATGATACCCTCAACAATCTGGGGGATCAGAGTGATGTTATTGGAGTTGGTGGAATTAATTCAGATGATATGGTGGCCAAATTCAGATCGAGAGGTATGACAACATGGGAATTGTCACGTGGTTATGGACGTGTAAAGTCAGATATTGTAACCAATGGCAGCCATGTTAAGGGAAGCAATTTAAATGGTGGCTGTAGATCGCTGTCGGGAATATCAGTGGCATCAGCCGTTGTGGCTGGTGCAGTGGCATTAATATTAAGTGGTGATTTATCCAAATTGCCTCTAGTCAATTCGGGTTCGATGAAATAAATCTTGGTTGAAGGAGCCACAAAATCAAAACATAACAACATATTCGAGCAGGGTCATGGAAAGTTGAATGTTTCGAAAAGTATGAATCTCTTGAAGGCATATGAACCCAAAATCACCCTCAGTCCCGCTTATATGGATTACACGGATCCCTATACGTGGCCTTACAGCTCACAGCCAATGCATTGTGGTGGCATGGCATCA